CACCGTCATTCACATCAGTCCTCACCGTCATTCACATCAGTCCAACCGTCATTCACATCAGCCATGACCCTCGTTCAGACCGGCATAATGCTTCATTTGATCCCTCTCTTATGGTCTTCATTCACATCAATAATGTCCCTAGTAGCAGTACACGTATAATACGCTCTATTGCAGGTGCGGCTGTGTGCCAGCGACCGCCCCACATGGCTGCGGGTGGAGGCAGCACGTCAGCTCGCTCACCTCACTGAGTTCAGTCATGACCTGCAGAGCACAGCGGCCATCACCGACCATCTCGTCACCACACTCAAAGAGTTCCTCTCCCATGTGCCGCAGGAGGATGAATCTCTTCCTAAACCAGAGTATCTCAGTCCTAGCGTGAGTATTCGCATCTTTATTATGGAAATATTGTTGTGATAACGCTTATTGTACATTAACTATTCAGGCCCGGTTATGATTTCATGTACGGTATCTCAGTGTTTAAAAATGAAACGGGTATTGAGATTTTAATCTGTCTTGACGTCTTTTAAATGTCTGGATTGAGACGTGACAGGTTAAAGTTACATTTGATACGCTATGTAAATACGTAACTCATACCTGTATCATTTTGCCGAATTCATGATCATCTTGAATGGAATAACTGGTAATCTCATTAGCTCACTGAAGTCGAGCTATTTCAGTCTCGGTGCGTCAGGGTCGTGCCTCGTATGTTTCTCTGATGTGTTCACGTACATTTGTTTTCTAGCGTTGTGAGTCTCTGTTACTTGTAACGTAGCTCTCGATGCTGATTCTGCAATTTTTTTTCTTCTGTGCTTTCTTGATATTATTCCTTTCTCTTTCAAAGTATCATTTGACCGTTTTTAATCAGGCATCATTTATTGCACTGGTAACTGAAATACTCTTAACATGTACTTGGATTTAGTAACATATGTTAACATGTTCCATGTTGATTACTCTCGCTAAATAACGCTCTTCGGAATACAATTGAAAATTTCCGTGAATGTTTCAGTCTTGCGGACAATTTGACGAGCCAGAGCTGTACTCTGACCTGATGTGTGAGGCTGCCCTTCTTGTCTACGCCTCACTGGCCGCCAACAACGAAGCCGTACGTCAGAAGATCGTCAAGGGTCACGGCCTCATCGAGTGCATCAACGAGAAACTCGAGTCTGGCTCTCCTGCCCTCAAGCTCGCCGCCGCCCGCTGCCTACACTCCCTCACACGCTCCGTCTACACTCTGCGCACCACTTTCCAGGTATGTCTGCAGGACGTTCTCTGTGGTACTATCTCAACTTCAAATCTTAAATTAGCTGTCAGCTTATTCTTGGTTACTTGATGGGTATTCTCAAGCGCACTCCTTTTTTGGCAGTCCGTGTATGCATTAAACATACATAATAAACTAACCTCGTTATAAGTTATATATACCTCTAACGTAATCTTTGCGCCACATTAGTGATCACGTTATGCTTATTGTTACGGAACGTTGAAGAAGTGATCACTTCATGTCTATTGTTCCCGAAAATTTCAAGAGATTTCTTATTCGTGTGATGTCTAATTTAATAACATTCTTGAAGTTACTTCATCACTTGAATCGTAATGAACCGAGCTTTGTTGCTCCATATCTCAATATCCCGAGTGTTCTAATTGGGCAGTTGATAAACCAACCCATTATGAAAGTGGGCATTATTCGTAATCTGCTTCACTGTAATGTATTGAGATTAAACTCACGTGAAATCATTGTAAGATGCATCATAATTACGCAGGCCAAATGTTTAGTGAAGACATCTTCTTGGGCTTAATTTCTCATGCTAACTTTTTAGGAAGCTTTACTCAGGTTGTAGCTGAGATGAACATGACTGGATACATTCTCACCTGCAATTTAATTTAATCCATTCCACGAAAATATTTGTTAATTATTGTCACTTGTGCAGGATAACCCCGTATGGAAATTCCTGGTGGCCATTCTACAGGACCTGACAGCTGATGACGAACTCAAAGTATCCGCATTGTGCGCGATAACAAACTTGGCGTTGGAGTTCAGTCTCTGTAAGGAGCATTTAATGAACTCTGGTATCATAGGAATACTGGCTAACTTCACTAGAAGTGATAACTACGACCTCAAGTTTAATGCGTTATGGGGCCTCATGAACGTCTCCTTTCAAGCTGACCTTTCTGTGAAGGTATGAGTTGTTCTATTGCTTTCGGTATCATAATGTTGACTCCTGTGTACCGTGACTGATTTTGATCAGATTTTGTCGCCTCAATTTACTGAACTATCGTATAGTGGAAATTCCTAATTTTGCAGACGTTTCTCATTTATTTATTACTAGATTTGAGTGCCTGCATGACGAATATTATCTTCTACTATATGATGGATGTAATTTATTGTAGATTGAACTATATCTAACTCATCGTTCTCAGGAAAAGATACTGCAACATCTGTCGGTAGATGCAATGTTCAATTTGGTTTCCACAAACGATAAGGAGCTCATCTGCAAGACCCTGGGCCTCTTACGCAACCTGCTGAGCCCCAAGCAAGACATCGACACCATCATGCGCACCAACAGCAACGCTGTCCTCCAGGTGCGTCTTCCACTTCAGGGCTATTTTTTGTTATTGTGTTTTTTCCTAAAGTGTTTCGCGTGATTTAATCACATACGAGAACTTCAAGTGCTAAGCAAACGCTGGTAAAGTTATATTGATGCTTGTTTTTGAATATACGTCACTTTCTAAACTTAAAAATCATGGCGATGACAGCCAAACAACCCTGTTCTGGGTTGATAAAAACGGTATTTGAAAGCAAGGCAAGTGCTGCGTTTTTCTTGCTCCTATTACTTCTTCAGCACATTATTCTCTTTCCATTTAACGAACTGCAGATTCCTGAAATTTCATTATGCACAATAGCTCTGAAACTCTTTTATATATATTTTTTTTAGTCTTTCGGCCATGTGTTAGTGTACCGAAGAATTTAAGAGAGCCCTATTCCATCGTATAATTCACAGGAAAATTACTCGCTATGAATCATCTGAAAATTTTTTTAAGCTTGCATTCGGCATTCTGGAAATGACAAATTAAATGTCTTAAATGAATAATTCTGGCTGGAAACTCCTGTATATAATATATCGGCGTCATAACTCGTATTAACTAGGTACTCGTTAAATTTCAATGCTGAGTTTGAAGGCTTCATTTTAATAAGGCTCAGGTATGGTTATGATGTTGGTTGGTGTGTGGCAGATCGTGATCTGGCTGCTGGAGGGCGACCTCACTCCTGACGTGAAGGAGCAGGCGCTGTGCGTCCTCGCCAACATCGCTAACGGCGAGCAATCCAAGGAAGTTCTTATCGGCAACGATGACATTCTCAAGAAACTCTTCAATTACATGGTTTGCTCTAATGCTTTATCATCTCGAGTGTTTTTTCTGCAATTCTGGCGTATTTTGAGCAGTATCAATATGACATTTCTCTAGTGACTGAAGACGAAAATGCTAAATTATAGCTGGCATATAATTCTTAATTGATCTCGTAGCAGATTAGCTTTACTGAACATTTATTCCCCCTATTCATACCGGCTGACAATTTCACATAATTTATTCTTCATCAACAGCGGCTGCAGACGCCGGCACTGCAGATGGCAGCGACGATGTGTGTAGGGAATCTTGCAGACACTGCGGATCCCAACCCCCTGGACCGCCAGCTTCGTCTGCGAGAGGCGCGCATTGAAAAGGCATTGGAAGGACTCCTGTCTACCAACCACGCCTCGCTTTTTGACAAGTAGATACGACCTTCAGTTCTTTTCAGAAGGAAGATTCATATGCTACTTCTACTTCATAGATATACTTCGTCCATCGCTAATTATGATGTGCGATTGACGAGTTCATTACTGTAGTGTCTTGACATTTTTCTCTCCTCAACCAATTCCTTAAGAATATTTTTGAAATAGTTCGTTAGATGTAACTTGCATATCAACCGGGCCACTATCAACGTATCTATCGCTATATTACCGATTCCCACGTTTTCTCAAGCATAACTTCAATTCTGTCTCATTTTGAGCTTTGTTAATGTCATTCCCTTTTTGTGCTACTTTCTAGCAAATGCATTATTGAACGCCATACGATACCCCAAACAAGATAAGTGGTACTGTTACTGTTGCAAGAGGAGCCACGTAATTTTTCTCCTGTTCTGTGCATTTGATGCCTACAGAATTGTTTTTTGTCGTTATCGTTTGCGGATTTAAATTTTTTTAAATAGAAAAGAAAAATTCTATGAAAAGAACTAAAATGGTATCCAAGCCATTATCTATTTGTTATTTATCGTCTAAATTATTGTTAGGCAACTTGATCGATTCTTGTTATCAAATGTTTACTTTTTTCAATTTCTCATGTTTCAAATTTTACCTCTACAGGGTAAAATATGCTCTAGACATGTTCAAATTCATCGGAGCGGCGTCCTCCACGGTGACCATGGCCACGATGGCCACGATCACGACCAGCACGGCCTCCGTGGGCAGCTCGGCGAGCAACGGTAGCTCGTCAGCCTCGTCCACCCCGGGACCTAACTGGCGGAGTGCGGACCAGGGGCCCTGAAACGTTCCTTTCTCGATGCTTCCTCGCCGCCTTCACGTGCTGTTGCTGTCCAGCCAAGCGCCATCACTAAATCCAGCGGAATATCGAATACAAATTGAATTTCTTAATTCATATGCTTCCTCGTCCTCCTATCTCGATTGCGACAAGCACAAATTAGTTCTTTGCTCAATCCCAATCATATGCTAGGTCTGCCTTGCCTAAACTGCTAAATACAACAGCGCTACGTCTGGTTGAGAAGAGACATTAAGTAATTTCCTACTTGTTATTTCATAGGCGTTTATGCAATGAAAAACTTGACGTTGTACTTGACATATTTTCTGTCTATATTTGTGAAACTGCTCTTATTAGTCCATATTCAAGTCTCGGCCGCTCCTAATTTCATAAGGTTTTCTTATTTATATTATGTTGTATACTTCGTGTAACACTTATTGGGATATTGTTTAAATTTATTCTTGCTACTTCAAAATTTATGGCTTAAAATAGTAATTTCTATTAAGTTGTAATTGTTTTAAGTCAAATTTCCCTCATGCAGGTTGTGAGAGGAGCCAACTGTTTCTCAAGCTTTTCTTCTTGACGAGTTTAGACTTCGCTTACAATGCTCATCCTGATGCCGTTTATGTATCATTTTTTACATTTACGTTATTCATTCTATTGTAGCATATATCAATCATTAAGTTTGAACATTACTCCTATCACTAGAACGAATACTTACTAGTGCTGGTACCAACTGAAGTTGCCAGCTGATCTTTCCTAGACGGTAGCCAAAGGATGTCATCTGTGTATCCAACGACCCTAGACTGTCTCGGCCCATTATTGTTTAGGTCTCCTATTCTTCCGTCATCTACTCCTGCTATATATCTTTCTTCACATTTTTTACTCATCAGAAGTAGATCGATGTTGTACGTATTAAACTTTAGGGTTATGCGTAATTTTATGTGTGACGTCTCTGCATTGTATTCTTGGTATGTGTTGGGGCACATTGGCTTTTGTAAATGTGTTGCATTATCTTCCCATTGACTAATTACGAACTATAGCAGTTTTTTCGAAATGTTTTGTGGTGTCCTAACCGTCTCTCCATCGTAAGGCCGTAGGAGTCAGAAGGCAACTGCAAGCCAGTCGTTGTAATGTTTTCTCATTTCTCTGCATTTTTCAAGCGTCGTTCGTCCTTTTATTCATCACAGCTTTGTGTTGTTTTTCAATACTAATCCACTAAAGGTCAGCTAACCTGCCATTTTCTATCATCGCCGCGATAATTGCTCATTTATCAAAATTTGGATACTGATCTCTTATAGATACCAATCTATAATTTCTCAGTACTAATCTCATGTTTCAGTTCAGGCAGACTTGATCCAGTTACGCAAATCTGGTTCAACGCAATTGCGCATTGTTCACTTTTTCTATCTTGTTTTTTTTTTATTACTGCATTGCATATCTTATTTATATTAGCTGTAATAATAATGATCTGAATTGCAGCACTTCTCCTTCAGTGTGATTATTTTCTCATAACAATTTGCGTGTAGGGAAAAAACGATTATTTATTGAAGTGTACGAATAAAACCTTATATAATGTTTGTCCTGTCATATTTTTGGAGAATGATGCAAGTAAAAAAGTTCAATAGATTGTTAGTTGCAAGTGTAGATCCATCAAATTATAACCAGCAATTAACGCAAACCTACGATATTTCTCCTTCCTTATGTGATCGGTATGTGATGAAAAATCTAAATACAATTTTAACCTCTTGCTTCGTAAAATTGTAAGTGATTTTATCATCTCTGAAGATGTGAACTATTCTTAGATCAGCAGCATTTTTTCAGCGCTATTGCTGTTGAATATCTTCAATGGAATTACGAGTGAATTTAATGAACATGATGGAGCTCGAAGAGTTGTGTTCGCAACAGTAAAAACTGTGTCTCTGTCATTTGTTTTTATACTCGCATCTCTGTGGGTTGAGTAAAGTATTTGTACTGTATTTTATGACGAATAAATGAAGTGCATGATGCAAGTGCTATTTTATAACAGTACTTAGGCTTAGTTCCATGACTCTGGGTATCGTACTTACGAAATGCTCAGTGACGCTGGCCACGCGTCCTGTACATAGAGAAGAGGAGCTGAGATGAGATCTTGTGCTCTAGTTTTAACGTTGGTTTATTGAGTGGCAAGTTGTGGCGCTTGTCTTGATGTATCGAAGCGTTAGGACTTTGGCTTCTGCTTTCAATAATTACGTGTGGGTTGAATCTCTCTTCTTCTCCGCCTTATATAAATTTTTATTAACGAATTACTCACTTTTAATATCCCTTTTTAATCAAGAAAAAAGGGTGGAAGAAAGTTAATTGATGTTAATTTTCGTCCGCTGGGGTGAGCGGGATTTTGGAAAATGGCCCAACTTTCATTGTGTTCTCTGCTGTGTAGACGAATTTTTAGCGAGTTTATCAGATCAATCAAAAGGAAATAAGACATGCGTGCGTCGTTCACAATTTTGAGGATTGGTGAGAATCTTTTCATGAATGAGCAAAAAAAATTTCACGAACTTCTGAACTGAGCAACAAGCTCAACAATGAGCGAAGTTAACAATTCTTGGTTAGCACAAGAATACCACAACACACCTAAATTAACAGTTCTTGAGAGAATACTAGCTAGGATAAGTTAACTGTAGTTACTGAACAAAATTATTGATTAACCGTACCACCAAGAGGGGTTGATGCTGTTGATATTCGATATTATTTGAAGTCTTTAATTTTTAGACCTCGGTAATAGGCTTTGTGGAGACCTTGCCTTTGGTGAACTCGCAACAGAATGCAATTAGTTTTTATAAAAAGGTCTTACCGACGCATGTGTGGCAAGATTGAACTAGTATAAGGTTTACCCATGTGAAGCTCATTTTTGTGGATGTAGTTTGTTGTTCGCCTGTGAATTCACTGACCTCAGTGACGTCATTGGCATTAACCATTGACCGAAATGCGATCAAACCAGTCAACCAATCCGTAATGAGAATGATGGGATTTTTTACGTTTCTCGATCTCAGTGAAGTAACAAGAAAGCTGAACTGAATGGCGGAAATACTCACGGGTCAACTTTTTATAGTTCAACCATGCACGTGCGGTCCATCATAATTACTGACGATGAAAATCATGGATATAAAGGCCTTCCTCTTGTCCAAGTTACCTGTTAATAGATTCCTGATATGAAAGTTAAGCTGGATTTTTACTGTGTTCCTTCTCCACGACCCCTTGTGAATTTAGTAACATTTGAGCCCGCTTGAAGCCCTCTGCTTCAATCACATTTTGTGAGGAGCTTCCCTTGCGATTGCGTACGCTAATGCAGGCCATAATAATGGATTCTTTCCACTCATGGCTTCATTCGAAATGAATTTGAAATCGATGGTGAGTGAGAGCGTGCGCAACCATTCTTCCCCGATTGCCTGTGGGCCATGAAATTGGGCGAGAGCAGCGTAGACTTTCACGGACCATTGGACTCTGCGAGAACGACTGGGAGCGTCGGCCGGCGAGTGTCCAAACTTTCGGGCCGATTCCTTAGTTTTATGGAGACTTTTATTACAAGTTTTATAAGGGTTTTGTAAGGCGATCAGGTATCTCACGATTGCTATTAGAATGTTTTAATTGCAAGGCCCGCTTCTACAATTTTGCAAATTCGTAACTTGGACAATAATGGAATGTGCTCGGCTATCGCGACGCTTCGGATTAGAGAAATTTGTCCTGCTGGTCCTGGCATGGTCGTAATTTAGGATCTAAAATCATGTTGGCTTTGTGAATAGTTATCTTCTAATCAAGGGAACAATTATCGTTTTGAAAATGTTTTGTTATGCTGGACTAACTCCTCTTGAATTAAATATTTTCTTCAGATCCGTCTTATGAGGACTTGGTTGTTCACCACCCGCCTCAAGAATTAAATTACAAATACAGCGATGCTGTTTCGATCATACTATAAAATAACTGTCAATGAATAGTCATGCAGCAAGCTGCCGATTTATCCGCAAGTTTTACTCAGATCATTAAGATCGTTCAGCTACATTTTGGCAGGTCCCAAGTTGAGGCGGAACAACGCAGAATATCACTGCAACGTCCTAGAAAATTCCCGGAATCACGGCTGGAGTTTCATGCGAATTTCAGCTGCACCTCCTAACAATCATGAATTCATTTCAAGGTAAAAATTTGTCACAAAGTCTTCGAAAATAACCCCTTAATTGCCCAGCGGTGCGCGAAGGGCGAGCGTTCTTCAGGAGACGAACATAAGATCGTGATGCAAGGGGTGGCGGGAATCCCATCGTGTAAGTTGAGCGCAAAATCTTGCCATTTGCGAGGTTTACGAGGCTCTAAGTTAGAGGCGAGTTCCGTGGTGAGCGTTCGCTTTGCTTTGTGAAGGGTGAGCAGCATACGGCACTGCACGACTAGAGCTCTACACTGCACTAGGCACTGCACGACTAGAGCTCTACACTGCACTAGGCACTGCACGACTAGAGCTCTACACTGCTCTGAAGGCACAGCTTTGCTCGTGACACCGACTAGTATATAGTTTTTATTAATCATGAAGGCACTGCGCTGTTCTGGAAGAGATACGCTTCATAAATTAATAGCTGTTTCATACTACGGTACCATATAATACCAGAGCTTTTTGAGTGATTCCGGCCCGAGTCTGAAGGCAAGGATATTTGTGTTGGATCGCATACAGCGTCACTGTGAGACGTTGAGAACGGTGCACATAAGAGTCTCAAGTAACACATGAATATTGAAATTAATTTGAACCCAATCTACAGTGACTTCTTGCGATGATTCTACGATTTGGAAGCGACTTTTTACCCCTAAAGTTCATTTCTTGAGACCTTCTTTTCTAGAGGACGTTAGTAATTCTACAAAATAGTGATTCCTCAGCATCCCTTGCGCCGTTAAACGGAAACACTAACTCAGAAACGCTGTCTCTTAGAAGCGCAATTTAGGAAACTGGGCTAAGTTTGAAGAATAAAAGTTACCGATTCTCTTCCCATAAATTAAAACTCGAATTAGTAATGCGATTCTCTACTCCAATCAGCACTTAAACAATTGAAATTCTCCCAACACAGATGCTGGAGCAGCTGAGCGAGCAGTATGAATTGTAGATGAATTTTTTCGAAGGGTAAACTTGAATTCGTGTGAACCTTTAGGCTCATTTGAGCCTCTCGCGATGGCCTGAAAGTTTCACTTCTAAGACTTTGAGTTCTAAGCGCTCTATGCTTTAGCGATACTGAGGTAAAACTTTTTCAAGCCTGATTTACAGAGTGAACGGCTCTGAAGGTTATATACACATTTGTTTCACTCTCAGCTTCCAAGGACGGCATTAAACAGTCTAAATCACTATAACAATATTGCAGGCATGAAACGTTCCTCTGCCGTGATGACTTCCATATCTCAGCTTTAACTGGTGCAACTAAAATTTGGCAGATTTGTTCAGATCCTGAACATGGATCAGACGTGAGTTTTGATAGTCGAGCAATTTTAATAGCCCATCTGCTATTGTGCAGAAGAAGGGTCTTATTCATTACAATACTTTTGATTTTTCTTGGCCTATACAGTTTCTTACCTTCAACTGCGGTTCCTAAGATGTACCGTTGCGTTGCATTGAATTAATTGCATTTGTCATCCGACCTCATAATTATGCGCAGATCGAAAGCAAAGACTCTAAATTTCGTATATCTACTTAGATTTACACATGCAGGACCATAGCAACAAATAAAAATGATGTCTCATTGACTATTCATACCTTGGCATCGATGTTTATAGAGGAACTATGAAATGCACGCACACAATTTTTGTGTTATGTATGTAAAGGCTATTTTGGGTAGTTTTAAAAGCTCAATAACTAAATGAATAAGCTTCCAAGCCTCCATTATCGACGTCTGCGTGGGGACCTCATTGAAGTATACAAATATACTCATGGCTTATACAAGGTCCCAGAAGGATTACTAGAATTTGAAACAAGAACCAACACCAGGGGCCACGGCTATAAACTAAAAAAACAGCGTTGGAACACATCCATGCGACAACATTTCTTCTCGCTTCGAGTCACCGACATGTGGAACAGCCTCCCTGATAGCATCGTTGAAGCTCCGAGTATGAACGCCTTCAAAAACAGACTAGACGAAGCTATGCAGGAGCATATGTTCAGTCTTAAAATGCCTAGCAAATTACGGAACAGGCAATAAGTCCAGCAGCTATCTCAATCAATCGTCAGTTATGGAAAGATCGGGTTCCCAAGGCCAGATCCCTTGTGAATCAAGTCACGAAAAGTTCAAGAATCGGCAACAGGCCATGGGCCTATTTCTTCAACGCCGACACTTCTATTCTAATAAGAAAAACGTTATCATATATCACGGGCTTGAGACATTAGATACTTGTTAGACTGCTGCTCCCGGTACTCTAATTTCATTGTCGTGAATAATCTTTTGCAAGGAGGGACTCAAGTGAATCAGAAACTCGGCGTTAAAAGCATTCTTCGAGCGTTATCCTAAATCCAGCGAGTAATTTGAAGCTTGTGCTTCCCTCTGCGGCGACACGAGGCGGCAGCCCTCGAAATAAGTTTTGGGAATCAAGAAGCGGATCACGACCTGCGCCGCAACTCCTGAACGTTTCATTAAAAGAGTGTAGGGGCGGCGGCGATATACGAGCGACCGCCGCAGATAAGCAGCTTTGGGGGAGAACAAGGGGTCCGTGGGTGGGAAATTGGGGGAGACCCAACGTGAATGGGGAATGTGGCTCGAGTTGAACTAATGAGGAGAATGTGGGGAAATCGAAACCTAAATGGGCTGTGAGGGGAAGATTTTTGGAAGTTTTTGGAGGCCGAGCTATATATAGAGTTCGAGGATGAGGAATAGTTTGTGAGGTTGAAACAGAGATGAAGAACGAGATGAACATAAAGACTTACATGTGAGCAGATGTTAGGGAAGACAAAACGCAGATAAGGAATAAAAAGATGAAATCAAAAATAAAAATTTATATACATAAAAGATTTTCAGTCTTTTGTGAGAAATTGCGAAAGGTGTTTGGGTATTACGAGGATAAGTATGAACCATCAGAAGGGAAGAGGAATGAAGGGGACGTACAGAGGACCAAACGATACATGACGAAGAAAATTAATAATAACTAGAATAATAACGGAGGATTATAGTAGATAAAAAGGTCGAGACATTAACCAAAAATAGGAAGATTGAAAGGGAGCCAGATGAGGGAAGATATTTTCTAGGAAGCTGTTGTGTCAGACCAACCAAGCGCAATATATGATGTATAT